AATAAGTGGGTAAGCACTTACAAATGTAGTTTAATCTTTTTAAGATATTAAAATTATGATACTTAATAATTAATAATTAGATGCAGGATTCCCACATAATTTTCTTATTGATTGTTGTGTTCTTATTTATATTTGTTATTGAAATTTCTAATCAATTGTCTTGTTATATTTTGTAACTAAATTTATATATGTACTGATTGTTATGTAATTAGAAGTATATTAAGGATATATAGAATTTATTAGTGAGTTAAAATAAATAAATAAACATTAAAAGATTAAGAAAACTCATTTAACTGGTATCACCGAAGGGTGGGTGTGTGTGCAGCCTTTTGGCGTGTGACTATGGTGAACCCTACCGATGGATATGACTTTAGTCAGATATGGCAAAGTAATAAGAACTGTGAATTGTACAATGTATACTGCAAACTGTAAATTATGAACTGAATTGGGACGTATTCACGTGGTAGAGAAGATCTTTTTTGCTCTCGTTGATACCGGCGAAAATAGTATCGTGCGGTGAAACTATTTTTAATAAGATATAAATTGACAGAAATGAATAGTAAGTCATGAGTAAAGTTTACGATACTGAAATACTGAATTAATATCTACTGAACTGCTTATTACTTAAATTGTTATATGAAATACTAAATTATACTATTTATTGAACTGTTTATACTCTGAGTTATGATATTACGATAAAGAATTATGAATGTTTACTAAATAAACTTATTTAGAAGATTTAGTAATTGAATTAAGGTGTAGATACTATGTATTTTTCGAATTAAAGAGAAAAGTATTTTGATTCATCTTCGTCGTTAGTTTTATATTTTCTACTAACTTAAACTGATTACCCTATTATTTGTTAATACTTACATATTTACTGAGTATATTAAACTCACCATATTTATTATTCATTTATGTGTCTTTGCAACCTATGACTATTTCTCTTCTTCCATTTGATTAAAAAAAAAAAAAAAAAAGGTCTAGTTTAACCAACAAATAATATTTGCATATGATATGCCAAGATATCATCATTATTTTTAGTTTTTTTTCATAATCTTAATCAAATTTAATTATTATTTTGGTAAAGAAACTCACATATAAAAGTACTTTTATATACCACGTGCCCACTAACCATATATACTACATACATTAATTTTTCTAAATAATTTCGTATGCGAGTGACATTAAATATTTGTATACCTAATATATGCATTATTTTGACTTTAGTGAGATGGTATCCACTAGCTATGATATATTATATACAAGTTATGTGGCATGCACATTTGAAATTATGTTGTAATTAACAGACCTTAACTTAGTAGTTATTGTCTTATTTAATATAAAATTAGAATATATATATATATTAGGTTATATTTAAAAAATAAAATAAAATAATGTTGTAAATTTAATAAAAAGAATACTTGTGAAGTCATGATCAGGTTATTTGTTGTTTATAAGGTATTGAAGCAGACAGGCAAGGCCAAATTATAAAGTCCTACGTTCATCTCAATACATTAATATTACTATTTTTAAATTACAAAATTTGGGAATCAAGTGCACAAGATCTCGTCTTCTATTTTGGTTTCTCCTTGTGTTTATTTAAATAATATTATATATATATATTAATATAATCCTAGTATATATAGTAGGTTTAACACTTGACAGCACACACACACACACACGCACACACACACATATATATATATATATATGTAGTATACTATAATATGTATGTGTCTAAAACTCGTATTATTTAATAAAAATGGGCTGATAAAATATTCTTAAGATTTTTTTAGGATATAGTATAAATTAATTAATTAAGATATACGTATATATGTATAGAAACAATAGCTTAATTAACTTAAAAAGTCATTGTGGGAATATTAAAAGGTCCACAATCCAATGCACAAGTTGTTTTAGAAATTTAGGTGCATGTTAGAGAATTCATTGCATATACAGATCCCATTGACACAAAAGCATTTGTATATATATATACTTCAAAAGAAATATATATATGTGTGTGTGTGTGTGTGTGTGTGTGTATACACATGTATAATTAATAAAAAGAGAACAAGTGGGGCATGCAAACCCATCATCTCGCTCCTAGATTTCATTCTTATTTTTAATTTAGAGATACAGACCCCCCTGCCACAACGAACTTCTCATCTCCCTCCTTGTCTCTTTTTTTTTTGGCAAAAACTAATTAAGTAAATATTTATTCATTGGGCCAACTTGTGTGTTATCTAATTGTTTGTGCAAAATTTATTATTATTTTTTTTTTTTTTTACTAGCTGTAAAATATTTAATTTGATGGATAATTATTACTTTTCGGAATATTGTCAGTTTATTTCTAGTAAATTTCAAAATATGTTCGTATTTATAAATTAATTTACTTTTTAAAATTTTGAAGTAACTGGTAATTTTTTTTTTTTTTTTTTATATAGCGGAAGATAAATTATTAGAAAGAGAAAAGAAATAATATATAGGTACAAAATAGAAGAATAATTATTTGGTCAATATTCCATAAGTATCTAACGTCAACTCCATCAAACAAAAGTAATCATAACTTACACCACCTGCCCATTCACGTAATCCTTATAGATATACCTTTCTTAATTTAATATTACATAATTTAAATTGGAGTTTTGTAAAAAAAAATTATATATATATATTAAAATTAAAGAAAAAGAGGTAGAGATATTAGAGTCAATGGCGGGGCCTACGGGAGGCAGTGGTCGACGTGGTGAGTTGAGACAAAAAGAGAGAGTACATGTACGTGGGTGACATTCATGCATGCTTCTATAAATTTCATTCTTCTCTGAGATCTATCAACTTTCAACTCCCATCTAATAATTACTTTTATTTTCTTTTTCTTTCTTTTTTTTTTTTGCTTTAAATGCATATTTATTTTTATCAATACATAATAAATATTTCTTAAACCATCATAATATTTATATATATATATATATATATATATATTGTAATCCTGCTGCCGCTGCTGGCGTGCTGCAGCATTATAATCAACTGACAGCTATATTAAGTACAAACAAGCTATATTAACCTCATAATAATTTCTTTTGACGAATTTCTTTCTAACACCATTGAAACATACATGCATGTGTAGTATGTATACACACATATACACCCGTCAAACTACTACTAATCATTAATCTCAATTCCCCAACACAGCCAAATTAACACTTCGTTGCTGTGGTCCTCTCACTCTCGTCATATATTATAATACACACACACATATATAAGCATTCAAACAATGCTTTCTAATTCCATCCAAACAATAATAGTAAATAATAATAACGAGGTCAACAAATAAGCATTCACCAAAACAAGACCAACTTACACCATACAAAAACACAGCTTTGACGGTGAACCCAAGACTAATTGATATGTAATAGAAATTTCACTTTTTTAAAACCCTTTTCAATCAGCAAAGAACTCCCAAGTTATCTACAAACTTTTCTTAAAGAAATTTTCATTGCACAATTTTTCCAAGGAATTGGATTCCCTCAACTCACTCATCTTCTCTTATAATCTCCTCCTAAATCTATATCACTACCTACTCTAAACCTTGCGATCCCTTTGGTATATATAGATATTGCTATTTAGCCTATTATAGCAGAATTATAAATCTGAAACAAGTTTTGATTGCCTTTACCAATAATATCTGGAACTATATCTCTATGCAATTGGAAAAGCCTCAATCACATTAACACGGCAAAAAACACAAAGGCAAAGGAAATAAGCTAACTTGATCTGTACCATTTTTATGCTGTATCGAAGAAAATCTGTGTTGGAAGCTTTGTCAGATTTGTAAAGGGCCAAACAATGTCGTTTCTTATTGATTTAAAGGATGCAGGCTGCTGCAACTTTAGTAGCTCCCTCAATCTGCTGCTGTCACATGACTTTGTTTGACTGCACAAGGACTCTCCTAAGCTCATTTGCAATTCCTTGCAATACAATTGGCTTTCTAATCACCCCATTCATTCCTATCTGCAGACATCTTTCCCATACATCTTCATCTCCACTTGCTGTCATCCCAATAATCAATGGCCAACTTCGGCTCCGGAATTTTCGAATTCTCATTGCAACTTCAAACCCATCCAGTTCAGGCATATGAAGATCTAGAAGAACAACTTGGAAAGAAGATGCAGCTGCTCCAATGGCACTTAGGCATCCAAATCCTGAAGTAACTGCAGAAACAGTGCATCCTAGCTTTTCAAGTAACTTTCGTGTCACAGCCCTGTTCACATCATCATCATCGGCTAATAAAACTTGCAAGCCTCTGAAAATGGAGTTTGAAGGAGGGTGCTCCTGAGCTTCTCCAGACTCAGAAATGGAAATTACCACAGAAGATCGTACTTGAAAACGAAGAACGAGTGACATGCTTTGAGCAAAACCATGAATATTCGGGGCAACCCAGATGTTCCCTTGCATTAGCTGCAAATTTATTTAAAATAAAAAAGTTAAGACTTAAATTGATGGAAATTAATTTAAATTAATTAAGTACAACCTAGAGTCCTATGCAAATACTTCCATGGCATCACATCTACCACAAGTCAAAATTCCCAAGGATTTCTGAGCAGGTTGTATAACCAAAAAGCACCAGCATACTAACAGTTTTCTCATCCTCATGAACACCTCTTTTGTGTTCTGTCCATGTCATAGAAATACTGGAGTTACCCAACCATGCTATCAGATTTTCAATATAAGTTGCCAGTAAACTAACTATTAGTTGCTTCAAAAAACTTAACAAATTATAAAGAACAATCAAAATATAGTACAAGAAAAGCTTAATGTTAAGCCCACTAACAAATATAGACTAAGTTGCTCTCGTAAATTTTCATTGAGCTGAAAAGAAATTCAAAGATGTTCATATATCCATAGGAAATCCAGCTGTTATCGAAAGAACTTTCATGCCTCTTATTCGAAAAAAAGTCAATAAGGCTCCTCCCTAATTCTCATGCTCCTCATGCCTTGAATACTAA